AATAAAAAATAATACTGCATTCGTTAATTTTAAAACTTGAAAATATAGCTCAAAAATTTACTTTTGTTCCGTTTTCATTAAGTTAAATAAAATAAATTCACTAATTCTGTTTTAATTATTTATTAACTTTATTAATTTATTAATTAATTATTAAAATGATTATTAATTTTAAAAATAATAATAATTTAATATTATTACTTTCTTCATTTCCAGTACTTTAGTATTTTAAAGTATTATATTTTATGTATTTAAAAATTTTATTATTATTATTATTATTGTTATTATTATTATTATTATTATTATTAATAGGTATTATTATTATTGTCAGTATTATTATAAATAAAAATTATTTACCCTTTTTAAAATTAAAAATAAAAATACGCTTTGACGCTCTCATTACTTATACTTCGTTCTCTCTGTCTCGCTTGCGAGAGAGTTTTCTCTTCACCTGACGGACGAACACAGAATGAAAATGGCGCGAAATTCAAATTTATAAAATTTTATATCCGAATTCTCGGACTTTTTTTCGTATAGAAATTAAATATTGAATAAAAATACAATATTTAAATCCAAAACTTTGTCCACATGGCTCCAAGGTTTAATTTTCTTTTCATGTTAAACAATTTTTTTTCAAATAAAGAATAAGTCATGAAATGAAATTTTTTTCCGAAAGCAAAATTAAATAGAAATTCGTACCGCATGTCTAATAATTCAAAAGCTGATTCAAAAATGAAAAATCGTAATTGTATACATGAGGGGAAAAAGTAGATTTCTTTTTACAAATTACAAATTACCTCGTCAACGAGAAAGAGAGCGCGTGTTGTTTGCCATTTAATTTTTCCTTTCATTCTCTCTTCTTTTCTTTTTTTTTTTACCTAATTCCACATATTATCTATATGAAAATCATACTCTTCGTGAATAAATTTCTAGAATTTAAGTCAATTTTCACAGAAACACACAGAGAGAGATAGAGAAAGAAAAAGATAGGCGAAATTCACAATTCAATGCGCATGTGCAATAATAAAACACACTGAAAGAGGCGAAACAATCTAAATTACGAGTCGTAGCTTTCCTCCCCCCTCGTACCGAAAAAATCCTATTTCCTTGCCCCAAACCGTTGTTAATTATAGTTGCTTGACATTCTCATTTCTTGTGAACGGAACAGTGGTTTTTCAAAAAATAAAAAAAAGAAAAGGTTCGTTAAAATGGCCGCGGAAAAGAGGTAATCTGACCCTTGATCCTGAACGCATGTCCTTCATATCAAGCCTGGTTCCTTCGGATAGCGACAATTTTTTTTTTTTCTTTTTTTTTCTAGGAATGAGAAAAGGTTGGCGCCCAACGAATGTCGTCAATGAATTAATTAAAATTATACATCTGAAAAAATCGTCGACAAAGGCAAAAGAGAGAAAGAAGGAGAGAGAGAGAGAGAGAGAAGGACGAAGAGAGGGAGGGGATTTAAAATAGAGGGATGAGATGCTCGGTGCGTTCTGCGCGGCGATATCTCGCATTGTTTTTGCCGGACGTAACCGACGATACGGGCCGTAGGTATAATATTTCAAAGTATCTGCCCTCTGCCTACTGCCTGCCTGCCTACTTTACAATGGTTATACCGTATATAGCAGCCATCTTCCGAGGGGCTGCCCAGCGGCCTATCAGAGACGCCGTTATACCGTCACGGCAAAATGTTGAGAGATCATTTAGCATTTTAAGCATTCGTCGTCGTTTCTCTCTTTCTCGCCCTTCATCTTCTTTTTCACTCTTTCTGTTGCCTCGACATCGAAAAGGCTAAAGCGTTTTTGTAAACAAAGGAAAAGAACATTCTGCTATTCACAAAAGCGCCCAGAATCCTGATCAGGATTATGGCGTACGAGTAATGCTTATTATACCAAGTCCTGCCTCAGAGAGAGCTTCTCTCTCTCTCTTTTTTTTTCTTTCTGTCTTTTTACTCTTCTTTTTCCTCTTCTTCTCTTTCTATTTTTTTTTCTTTCTCTTCTCTCTCTATTTTTCTCTATTTTTTCTCTCTCTCTATTTTTTTCTCTCTCTCTCTCTTTCTCTATTTTTATCTCCCTCTTTCTTCCTCTTTCTATTTTTTTCTCTCTCTCTCTCTCTTTCTCTATTTTTATCTCCCTCTTTTTTCTTCTTTCTATTTTTTTTCTCTCTATTTTTTCTCTCCCTCTTTTTTCCTCTTTCAATTTTTTTTTCTCTCTCTCTCTATTTTTTCTCTCCCTTTTTCTTCCTCTTTCTATTTTTTTTTCTCTCTCTCTCTCTCTCTCTCTCTATTTTTTCTCTCCCTCTTTTTTCATCTTTCGATTTTTTTCCTCTATCTATTTGTTCTCTCCCTCTTTTTTCCTCTTTCTATTTTTTTCTCTCTCTATTTTTTCTCTTTCCCTTTTTTCCTCTTTCTATTTTTTTCTCTCCCTATTTCATCATCTCCCTATTTTTCTCTTCCATTTTTGAGGCAAACTAAGTTAGGAAAAGAGAGAAGGAAAGGAAGGAAGAGAGGAAAACAGAAAAAGAAAGAGTAAGAAAGGAAGAAAGAGAGAAATATTCAGAGTTGCCATAAAAATTTAATTTTGTTTCTCCCTGATTTCCAGACAGAATTTTGACTTTTTCCCTGACCCTAAAGAAATATTATGATTCGCTCTAAAAATAATTAACAGGGTAGACGCTAAACCGAAAAATGACAGGGAATTTTTTTAAACCTGGAAAAACCGGGAAATGACAGTAAATTTTGATCTTGACCGGAATTTTGAAATTTTTTTTTAAAACACTGATTATTTTGTGAGAAAAAATAGAAATATTTATTTTAAGACTTATTAATTATATTTCATATTAAAAAAGATTGACTAATCTTCTATAAAATCGTTTTATTTTGTCAGGGAATTTTATCTAAAGTACTGGAAAAATATTCAATTTCTAGAATTTATAAGAAAATTATGAATTTTGTTGTCCAACGTAAATTTTTGTCTAAAAATCAGAGAATTCTTTCAATATTTCATAGAATAATTTATTTTCAAAGTTATGTTAAATAATGTTAAATTATTGTCGAAAATTTTAACCGAAATTCATTTTTTAATCAATTTTTATTAAAAAATTCTACGAGAATTTAATTATTTATAAAGAAAAATAAATCATTTATTAAATAATTTAATCTTTCTTAAAATTTAATTTTTACGAAGAATTTTATTAACTATTGAAATTAATTAATTTTTTTTTAAGGAATTTAATTAAAATTTACTGAAATTTATTATATTAAAGAATTTTAGAACAATTTTTGAAAATATAATTTAACTTTATCAAGAATTTTATTAAAATTTTAAAAAATAATTGAATTCATGCGAAGAATTTTATTAAATTTTGTTTAAATAATAGGATTTTTGATAAGAATTTTATTTAAATTTTTGGACAATAATAATTTAATTCTTGAAGAAAATTTTTTAAAAATTTGAAAATAATTTAATTTTCGCAAAGTATTTTATTTCTTTTCAAAAGAATTGAATACCCCTTAAAATAATTGATTTTATGAGTAGAATTTTATTGTTTATCAAGATGATTGAATTCTTTTGGAGAATTACTTAAAAAATTTTGAAAAATAATTCATTTCCTGCGACAAATTAAAAGTTTTTTATGAAAATAATTGAATTATTGCAACGAATTTTATTATTTTATTGAATTAATTGAATGTCTCTTAAAATTGAATTCTTTTGTCAAGTTTTAATAAAATTTTTAAGAATAATTGTATTTTTCGAGGAATTTATTTGAAATTGTATGAAAAATATTTGAAATTCTGCGATGAAAATAATTGAATTCCTACATGAAATTTTATTATTCACGAAAATAGTTGAATGTTTTCGTAGAATTGTATCAAAATTTTTTTTCAATTATTAAATTACTTGGTAAATTTTATGTAAATGGTAAATATTGAGAAACATTAAATTGCGAAAAACATTTGAAAATAATTGAAATTTTGCAAAGAATTTTATTAAAATTTTTAAAAAATTTTTTAAATAATTTAATTTTTGTCGAAAAATTATGCTGCTTATAAAAACAAGTAAAGTATTTTTTAAGAGCACAAAAATAGTGAAGCTTTATACCATAAATAAGAGAAGAGAAAATGTTGAATTTTAAGAAAATCGGGTTTTTGAATTTTTGATAATTTGTAATAAATTCAAATTTTTTTTCCTTCTTAAGAGGAAAGAAAGGGAAAGAAAAAGAGAGACAAAGACAGGGAAAAAGAAAAAAAGAAAGGAAAACAGAGAAAGAGAGACAAAAAAAGAAAGGAAAAGAGGAAAAGGGAAATAAAGATATGGAAAGAGAAAAAATAAAGAAAGCGAGAAAGAAAGAATGAGAGACAAAGACAAGGAAAAGGAAAAAGAGAGAGAGAGAAAAAGAGAGAAAAAATCGTCTCTTTACCCCAGCGATTTTACCCCTTTACCCCAGCACGCCACTGGAAACCAAAAACTGCCCAACCACCAGCCTTCAGCTTCTCAAGGATTAGAGAGGCCGCACCCTTTTGTATTTTGCATTTTTCTGAATTAGTTCAAACTCATCATCTCAACTACTTTATACTGCAATCCTCTGTATATATATAAAACAAGACCCTCTCCCTCATATCCTGGAAAGAGAAGAATCTTCCCCGTGGTTCGGCTTTGTGACTCAAATTTTTTTTTCTTTTGCTTTTTTTCCCCAAGGGAAAAAAAGATGAGTGCGTGGAGACTCTTTCTTTGTTCGAAAAAGACAATGCAATATTTTTTCCCCCTTTTTACAAAAGCGACAAGTTTTTTCAAGATAATTTTTTTAATTTCATCATATCTTCACTGCGTGGAAAAGTTAAAGATATAGAGAGAAAAATGTACATTTTTATGTATGCGATAAATACACAAGTAGACAAAAAAAAAGAAAGAAGATTTAAACGTAGGAGAATAAAAAAATAAAATTAAAATTTACGGAGAAAATTGTTTTGGGGTAGAAGAGGAAAAAATTTTTTAATGCGAACTTACCAATTGTTTCTTTTTTTTCCCTGCAAAATTGTTGTCATTAGAAGGAAGAAAATGGTACGTTTTGCACTGTAGCACTTTTTTTAATGTCTCACTTTTTTTTTTTTTCTTTGCGGTGATTAAAGAATAAAAATTAAATGAAAGGATGAATTTAGTTAACGACGAAAAAAAAGGGAAAAGAAGGAAAAAGGGAAGAAAAAGAGAGGAAAAGAAAGAAAAAGAAAAGAAGGAAAAATAGGAAAAGAAATAAAAAGAAAAGGAGCGAAAAGAAATAAGAGAAGAAGAAAAGAAAGGAAAAAAGGAAAAAGAGAAGGAAAAAAATAAAAGGAGGGAAAATAAAGAATATAGAAGAAAAAAGGAGTAAAAAGAAATAAGAGAAGAAGAAAAGATGAGAAAAGAAAGAAAAAAAAGAAAAGAAGGAAAAAGAGAAGAAAAAAAGAGGAAAAGAAAGAAAAAGAAAGAGAAAGAAAAGGAGAGAAAAGAAAGAATATAGAAGAAAAAAGGAGCGAAAAGAAACAAGAGAAGAAGAAAAGATGAAAAAAGAAAGAAAAAAGGAGAGAGAAAAATAGATGTTCTCGATGGAATGAATATTTCACTACTGATAAAGGAGCAATGAACTGTAAGGTTTGCTGATAGAAAAAAATGTATTGAGAACGTTTCAAAACAAAAACAGAAATCACCTTCGAAGAGAAATAGAAAGAGAGAAGAAGAGACACAGACAATGCGTTAATAATTCACAGTCGACGATTGTGTGAAAACTAAACAATAATAAATACGAAATGGGAATTTAAGAAAGTCAAACAATTTGTAAATAAAGACCAAAATTTGTAGAGAGAAGTAATAAAACAAACGAAGAGAGAGAAAGAGAGAGAATTAAATTTGAAAAATCCATAATCGAATAGAAAAATTTAAATAAAGTTAAAAATTAAATCATAAATAAAAATTATAGTAAAATAAAATTTAAAATAGAATAAAAGTTAAAATAGAATATTAATTAAAAAAGAATAAAATTTCAAATAGAATAAAAATTAAAATAGAATAAAAGTTAAAATAGAATAAAAATTAAAAGAGAATAAAATTGAAAATAAAATAAATCTTGAAATACAAATAAATTAATTAATATAAATTGAAGTAAATTAAATACTAGAAAATATTAATAAAATAATAAAATAAAAAAATAGAAACCAACAATGACTGTAAACTAAAAAATGTAAAGTAAAAATTGAGAAAAAATTAAGAAAGATTAAAAATCGGCAAAAAGAAAAATCAAGGAATATAATAAAAATCAAAGAAAAAGCAAAAAAATCGAAGAAAAGGCAAAGAAACTAAAAATATTTTTTTAAAAATTAAAGAAAAAACAAGAAAATAATTAAAAGAGAAAGGAAATCATAAATCAAGAAGACAATAAAAAATAAATAAAGAGAAAATTAAAAAAAAAGAAAAGAAAAGCAAAAGAAAAAACAAGAAAATATTAAAGAAAAAAAATTACAAAACATAAATCAAGAATAAAGGAGAAAAAAAATTAAAGAGAAAACAAAAAAATATTAGAGAAAAAACCAAAAATAAATGAAGAAAAAAAAGAAATATTTCAAGAAAATGAAACGAAAATCAAAGAAAAAGCAAAAAAATGGAAAAGAAAATAAAAATATTAAAGAAAGAACAAAAAGTAAATGAAAGAAAGGACAAAGAAGATTTAAAGAAAGGACAAAGAAGTATTAAAAAAAGCAAAGAAATAATAAAGAAACATCAAAGAAGTATTAAAGAAAAAGCAAAAAAGTATTCAAGAAATAGCAAAGAAGTATTCAAGAAAAGGAAAAGAAATATTAAAGAAAAAGCAAATAAAAAACCAAGGAAAAAATAGAAAATACTAATTATAATTATAATTGTATAATAAAAAATAAAAGCAAAAGAAAGAAAAAGAACTTGAAAATTCAACAACTGCACTGATCTTCCAATAAAAAAAAATATCGAAAGAAAAAAAAACTCCTATCGTTTAAAGAAATTACACACCCGAAAGATAAATTTTCGAAAAAATCCTTGAAACAGTTTTGTGAGAGAATATTGAAAGAGAATATGAAAATAAAACCCGAAAAAAGAACAGTTCAGAATAAAAGAATTTATATCGATAAATGATGGGAAAAAATTCTCTATAAACGATACCATAGTGAATATGTATCCACACATCGCAAATTAACACCAAAAATATTCATAAAAATACCAACAGATGAACACATTTAATAATTTTCTAATTTTCTAATTTCAGTAAGTTTTCAAATCGAGAACTAAAAAGAAAATTTTTTTCTACCCTAACTAATACAAAATTCTAATTTCTAATTTTCTCAAAAGTACCAAAAAAGAATTTTCGCGAAAAAAAACAATCAAGGAGACTGGTATCATTATCTTTGGAATAATTAGCAAAAAATTCGGCAAATTTTCCCTTAGATTACGTCAATAATGAAGGAAGAAACGACAAAATGGCGTGTCTTCGTCTACAGCGTTCGTCCGACGGTGCGCGCATTCAACGAAATTTTTCCACTCTTTTACAAGTGAATATTCGAAAAATAAAAATTACAAATAGTCAAAAATTTGAAAAATTTAATATTCACTTTACAATTTACATTCTTTGTTGATAAAAGTTGGAAAAATATTTTTTCCAATTAGTCTAAAATGCAAATTAAAGTCATCGCATTAACGAAATACGAGTGGAAATTTTTTAAACAGGGGAAAAAAATTTGTTAAAAAAATTGTATCACATATTTTTAAAATTAAATCTTCTCTTGTACATTTATATTAAGTAAAAATTTATTATTTTTGGGAAAACTAATTTTAATTTCTAATATTTAATAAATCAAGGGCAATGCATATGAGATGATTTTAATCTTATTATTATTTTCTGTTATCTTTTTTATTATATATTTTATTACTTTTTATCTTCTATCTTATTGTTATTTATTTTCTATTTTATTATTTTTGTTATTTATTTTATTATTTTAATATTCTGTTTCCTTTATTTTTTATTTTCTATTTTATTATTTTTATATTTTCTATTTTCTTATTTTTTATTTTCAATTTTATTATTTTCTTTTAACTTTTATCTTATTTTCTATTTATTTTATTATTTTAATTTTCTGTTTCCTTATTTTTTATTTTCTACTTTATTACTTGTTATCATTTACTTCAATACTATTTTTTTTATTTTGAATGAAAATTTGGTAATAAAATTAAATTCGATTTTCTTTTAATCACAAACAAGTTAAGAAAAAATTCATTCACAACTGTTGCAGAAAATTTGATACACAATACTATAAATTACAATTACCGCCAATTGACAATATCTATTAAAAAAAAATTCAGGCTAGAGTATAAAAAAAATTATTCAGATGCACCTATAAAATTTACTGGAATGTTAAATATTTTTTTTAAAAGCAATTCAACTTTTATTATAATTGTTCCAGTAAATATTTTCATATAAAAATCGATAAAAACAATTGTTACGAATATAAAAAAGATACATTAATAGAATATAGAGATAAAACAATATAATTTCAATATTAAACAAATAAAAATGTGTTATTCACATTTCGAAATTGTTGTTTTGGTGAAAAATATTCAAATAATTGATTGTAGCGTCTACTTAACATTTAAATATTCTAAAAAATATTTATTAAAAAAAAAATGAAGTAGTTATTGCTATAATCTATTTTATTACTGTTGTATGGAAAAAATATAAAAGTAGTAATAATAAAAATAATAGTAATATTCGTAATAATAAAAATAATAGTAATAATCGTAATAATAATAAAATAATAGTAAATTTGTAGTAAAATGTGTATCAGTAAAAATGTAATAAAAAAATAGCAAAAATAGTATTAAATAATAATAATAAAATAGTAGAATAATATAAAAAAAATTGTAAAAATAGCTGTAAAAATTATAATAAGAATAATAAAAATCTAATATTAATTAATTAATTAACATAACATAATATAATATTAATCTTTCAAATAAATAAATATTTGTACATAAATTATAGGTGTTCGGAAAACAAAAAAAAAAAAAACGCCATCACGAATTCGTCGCAAAAATATATAAAAAACCAACAAAAGAGTTGTTATTTTCGATAACATTTTTTTCAAGGCGCAATACCAAGGGGAAAGTAATTAGAGTAAATTCAGAGGCTTCCGAGGACCCTTCCAGTAGCACAAAATGGCGGGCGCGTGTGTGGAACCGCCCTTGCGAAAAAAATTAGGTCTCCTTCCGTTACCTCGTAAAATTTACATAAAAAGCCCCAAGCTCGTTCGACCAAAAATCGGAAGCCCTTTGTTCCTTTTTTCTCCTTCCTGGCCTTTTTTTTAATTACAATTTTTCTTCTTTTTCTTTTTTTCATTTCTTTCTTCTTTTTTTTATAACAAAAAACTCTCTAGAAAACCTGTTTAGAATTAATTTACTCCACGGTGGATAATTACCGAATTGCGCTCATGTTAGAAGAATTTGCATGTTAGAAGGCTAATAAAATTGTCTCCAAGTTTGTTGCTGAAAAAAAGGGGGATAAAAAAAAAAGAAAAACAAGAAAGTGTAGTGGAAATTTCCTCTTATTGCCCAAACGGACATTGTTTACCAATTGAAGACAGTGGACAGAGGGAAAAGTTGGAAAAATTGCTTGAAAGTTGGATTAAAAAAAGCTCGATTAAATTTTAAGAAATAGAAAACTTCTGGAATAGTAAAGGAATAGCGATGAAATAATACTTGATAGAGCTTTCAAGTATTACATACCTTCAAAAAAAAAAAAAAAAAAAAAAAAAACTTCAGGAATAGCAAAGGAATAGCGAAGAAATAACCTAAACAAATAAAACCGCAAAGATATAAACAAAAAAAGGAAGAAAACGAATTTTTTTTCCTTTCTATTTTTATTCAACACGGGAAAAACCGATAATAATCCTAAAGCAATATGTGGCATTGTTCGATTTAACCTTTTGAAAAGCGCCTCCATACTTGAGTGAATGTAATCCTTCCCGTCAATCCACCGGGCATTGAGCCAATAACCTAAACAATTTTCAATTACGTCAAGAGATAAAGAGAGAACCCTGGGAAAAGGGAGTGAAACAAGTAGGAAAAAAAGAAGAAAAAAACAAAACAAAAAATAAAACAGAAAAAGAAAAGGAAAAAAGGAGAAAGAGAGTACCACACACAACATTCTCGTTAAATTCACCAGACACTCTCTCGTTCCTATACACATTC